TAAAGAAGAAAAGCAATTTCAAGTCCCTGTACATATCCGAAGAACGTGTTCCGGAAGTGAGACCGGGTGTTTGGTTGTTTCGGGTGGTGGGGTGAGTCGTGAACGGTGAATTGGAGGATGGGGAATGCAGATATGTATGGGTGTGTATGGGTTGTGAGTAACACATGCGGGTGACGAGAAGAAGGAATAACAGCTTGGCTTTGTTGGTTGGTTGGGTCGGGATATCTTGGACGGGGATGGGGAAGGTTTGATTGCGCATTCCCATACGTTTGATGCGGACGAGGTAGTTCGGTAGAAACCAAAGGACCACCATGCATCCCATCCCCACAGCCACTCATACCCACAGCTCGAGCTCAACCTTCAGGGATCAGAAAGAAATATGTAAGTATCCCGGCCGACATTCCCACCAACCAAACCCTCCCTCGCAATCCCCTCATCACAAAAGCCATACCCATGCCATGCAGTCCGTTCCGACACGAAACACCTATATCACTCTTCAATATACCCCGTCCTGCGTCCCCGCCATTCCTGCCGGCAGATCACCCCCCATGCCAATATGCTTACACGCACGCTACGATCGGTCTGCAAAACGGCCTCTGGTCCCGCAGCCAATCAGCTGCCTACGTCCTTACCACGTCCTTTGCTCACGATGCAGTGTTATCCAATCGAGGGGGTCCGTGGGGATGGCGAATGGATTATGCGCAATATGCAGGTAACCGTACTGTATACGCGAGCGGCGAAGGGAGCTGTAAGGAGATGTAAAAGCCGTTGCGGGGGTTGGGTTGGGGTGAAGCAGGGACGTGGAATGGAGTGGAATGGGATCAACCGGCGAGGGTGACCTTGTCGCGATATTGCTACACAATCGCATTGCGTCTACAAGGGGTATAGCCGCTTCTCTGTCTTTTGACGGAACAAGGAGAGGGGATGGAGGGGCACGATCGGTGTTGAGGGGGTTTTGGTTGTGACATTGCAAGGGAGTCGGCAGGCAGTTTGGGGTGTTGGGATCGGTACTGACATCTGTTGTGTAACATGCGTACGTACGCACGCTAGTGTGGATAGCTGTGTTATGAGAGTGCTATAGCGAGGTACGTTATAGTATGATAGCATGCACAGTTATGCTGTTGTAATCGTTAGTTCGTATGCTCGGTATAGCTGGCATAACACTGCGCATGCATGCGGATCATGTTGAGCAAAGAATACCAACGCAGTCTCATCTCACTTCAGCCTGTATTTTCTCGTCGCAGAAGATACACGATGACTTGCAAAACGCCAAACCCGCACTCGCCCGTCTCTCATGCCCTCTCACAGGGAAGTGAGAAGCCCATCTGCCACCGACGTCACAACACGAACCCCCCGTAGACACAACCACACTGTTTCAGCGGCAGAAACAGCAGTAGCGCGAAAACAAAGTGTTCATGGCGCTACCAAAGATGCGCATCGCACATGTTTAGATAGCCGGACTGTTCAGCAAGGAAGATGGGTGTTGAGTAAGTCATCGTGCCCCCATCGGCAGTGTCAGCTAGCCGGCTGTACGACGGTTTCACCCCCCGATCTGCAGCGCAGCGCCGTTTCCTAGATCTAGGTTTTGCGGGGGGATGACTTGCAGGTCTCGGTTGAAGATCGGGTCTGACGGTTGCCACTGCAGGATGACGAGGGATGGTGATCGATGGGGATGTGTAGCGGTGAACAAGGTGTATTTGCGCCGCTATCTTATCGAGGTTCTACAAAGAACGATGTGATTCAGATAAGTCTGCTGTGTTATCTGCACTGCCTTGTCTTTCATCGGATCTGTTGTGGCGCGCCCGGGTATCACCAGTATCCTCGGTGTTTACAGCATCTGCCAAGCTGTCATGGGCATTCCTTGTTGTATCCAAGTTGCTTGTATTTGTGCCTTTCGCGGAGATGGGTGCCAGTGCCGCCGATCCGACCATGCCTTTGTCTCACTATATGCTTTGCCGTTCTGGTCCAGGGCATCCTCTCAATGTCACCTGTCGAATCTGCAGTCTCGCTGCAGGGGGCGCAGAGGGCGTGCTCACACATGCGCATGTGCGTCATTTGGCACATCGAAGGTTTTCGGAAAGAAGAGTGGAGACGTATTCCGAGGGGTCTATGTGAGCCATGTTCTTCGGATGCTACCGAACGGTTAACCGCGTGACCTTTGTCCTTGGCTCAAACAGTGACTCGTTGTCCTAAGCTCCGCGAGGTTTGTTTTGGCCGTTGGGTTGCGATGGCTGAGTTGCATTTGCAGCGGTGGTGGCAGGGCCGTCACTATCTTCGCCGAAGCCCAAGTTCTTGAACGAATCCGGGGCCATCAGATTTCTAATGCGGTGATAATAGTCAGCCATATGCTCATTATGTAAGGGGGATGATGAGAGCGAGAACAAGGATGCGCGACTCCGCAGATGCTACTAGAAGTAGATGACGGCATGATGTGGGCTGCTGATGGGAAGAGAAGCGCCGCGACATGTTTGTATCGCGGTCCGGCGATGCCTTCCTCGAGAGTAGATGATGGTACGTACCGGTCCATGCGACATGACAGGTATGACTTGGAGAGGCCGCGGCATTCGGGGTCGTTAGTCCCACGATGCGACTTGATGCATCGGAGGTACGAGAGCATGATGTCCTTGCATTCCCCTGGACAATAGTGTAAGCGCCTATTCGTATGGATCGTATGGATGGCAGTAGCAGATCGGACCGATGTGGTTAGGTTGGTACAGCAGGACGTAAAAGTGTATGTTGAGGTTTGGGGAGCGTACCGTCGTGGTCGAGAGGGAATGAGCCGCGCTCTGGCCTGAAGTGGAGCAATTGTTAGCACAGGGAATCGAAAGATAGGAAGAGACAGCCATGTTGTCTGAGTACCCAAGGGCCGAGACGAGACATGCGCATGGAGGGAAGGACTCACGGATTCGGCTTCTGGACCTTTTGCCCAAGCCCGGCGCCTCCAAAGTTGCTCATCTCGGCGGAGAAGGTACTAGTTCCTGTAATTGACTAGACTTCGGGGGTCCGTGGCGTAGTAATCGGGCTCGGTGGTCGTGTGGAAGGATGGTGACTGTGATGGAGTGAGGGCTGGATAAACTTAGCGCGATCGGCCTCGTTCGGTGGCCAGTGCTGCAACCTCGGGATGACGTGCCTTGTGCATCGCGCTGCAGGGCAGGTCGACATCACGACTTCTCCGCTACACTTGCATTCTGAAGCCAAACTATTATGATCAAGTTCACTTCATTGTGCGACGGCCACTTTCGACCTGCTTCCACTCTAATGTCTGAATTCACATCGAGGTAGACCATAGCATGCGCAGTGTGGCTTTCTAGCCCATCCCACAATCCATCTCCAACACGTATCTCAAGCCACCACAACCCTCCCAGCCGTCACAATCTCCAACATCTTCTCGGCACCCTCACCCCCACCCTAAACTTCATCCGCCTCCCGGTTTCTTCCAATTTTGAGCTTCGCCATCTTCTCAAGCCTATCCAACTGCTCATTAAACCCCTCATAGATCTTCTCCATCATCTTAAGATTCCGCATCTCCGCATGATATCCCTCCCAGACCTTCTGTATCTTCTCCAACTCCGCGAGGGCCTCCTCTCGCTTCTCCTTAGGACTCTGAAGTTCCTGACGTTTACGCTCTTCCTCGTCGAAGATGTTGGGGCCTTCTTCGTCGTCGAGGCAGCGGGGGCCGTCCCAGCGGGCGCAAAGAGACTTGTCCTCTGCTGTAGGGACGTAGTCATCTGGTGTGAGGGTTAGTATGATAGGTTGCGGAAATTTAAACGAGAGGTAATGCTATCAGCTCAGGGTGCATACTTGTCTTGTCAACTGTGCGGGGCCTGCGGTGGTCATTGTAGACCCATTGCTCGTGCGCGGCAGCGGAAGCAGCGAAGAGGCCGGCGACGACAGCCAAGATGGTGGTGAACTTCATGGTGTTGAGAAAATGCCTTGCTGGTTTTGGTCTTGATATGATTGTGTATGGAATGCAGCTGTGAAGACACTTTATGAGAGAGTATGTGTTTAAGAAAAGCGAAGAGATGAAGACATGGGTATTTTATCTAATAATGTGGCCCTGATGTTTCCGCGGTACCGCATATCCAGATTTGCCTGCGCAGCCAATCCTTCTTCAGCATGAGATAATCAAGGTTACTTTACCATAGAACGTGCGAAAGCGGGCCAGTCACAGTCACTGTTTTGCATATCAAAGGGCGAGCCGTGTTGGCTACCACGGCTATGTTCGTAGATTTGTCCCTGCTTACAAGAACTCCTACGCATGCCTTTGCGGTGGGTCAAACTACTGAAATCTTTTTGTGCCAACAACCACCGTGCGATTAATTTTTGCGATGGTATTACCGGTAGCTTTGAAAGACATAGTACCCAGCGTTCTATTCAACCAACAGCAGCATTCTAATTAGTGAGGAATAGAACAACTATACACAAAGAGGTTAGTCGTTTCATACGACTTCGCTGCTTGCAAGGGGTCTCAGAGCTCGGCATCATCACAAGTATATCCAGGTAGCACTGTCATAGAGCGCTGTAATGCACAAGCAACCTTAGAAATCGCCCACCATAGTAATTTGTGAGTGACAGAATGCGGTTTGAGAGACCCAACGCCCGACACGTAAGTAGATGCAGTCCTGATCTGCCTGTGACTTTATCAGTATACAGCAAATGTCTTGCTTTGATGTTGAAGGTGCAGAATTGGATACATGTTATTGGCACTTCTGTTATGATATTACTGAAAAAGAAGCAAGCCTGAGATGGAAAAACCTATTCTCGCGGAAGGCTAAGTGAGCAACCTCCATCTTCACTCAAATACCCCATAAGCTATGCTAGCTATGCACGAGTCTCTACGACGAGAAGACCTATATATCTGATGCTCACGTTTAGTTAGCGCGAGAACACGTTGCGCAGACAGAAACAGCGAATACCACCACTTAGTTCCACATCATGCTACAATTGACAGAGCCGGCACACCCTTCTCAGCTAGAACAATTTCCCAGCAAGCCCATTCCTCACGGCCACTCCGGATCCTCCCTCCTCCTAAAGCACGCCACAAACTTCAATCCCTTATTCCGCTCCACCTTCTTCCCCTCCTCAGTCTCACTCCTCATCAACCTCACACACTCATCCATGCCCACGCCCTCAACCCCATCCACCGTGCTCCCCTCCTCAAACACCCTCTCCACCCGCTCAAAACACGGATGACGCTCAAAATGCCCCTTCATCCACTCATGCAGATCCTGCACGTCTGTAATCGTATACACCACACCCCCAGGCCTCAATACGTAAGCGTATTCTGAGTTAAGGGTGTAGGACACAATGCGCGCCTTGTGTTTCCGCTGTTTGAAATGCGGGTCCGGGAAACAAAGAAAGATCTTCGATAACTGGTGTTTTTGGAAGAAGTTGGGCAGGAATTTCATCGTGTTGGCGCGGATGCAGGAGGTGTTTTGGTAGAGCTGCGATGATGAGGCGTTTTGGACGCGGAGGGCGCGGACTTTTTCTTGTACGTATTCTGTTACTGACATGCGGATTTCCATGCCTGTGGGTTCGTGTTAGTCTGGGGATGGCTGCTTGTGGTCTTTGTGGGCGCGTTTTCGTGGATGGGGTGGCGAGGAGGGATGGGGAAACTGACCGAGTATCAATGTGTCAGGGAATTTGGGTGCGAGGGCGAAGAGTAGGCCGCCGAAACCGCATCCTATGTCTGCTATTTCGACGTTCTTTGATATCGCATTTGCTTCCAGTTGCTCTTCTATGCTGAGATCATGTGACTCATTCTGCCCTTCTTCCGTCTCTTTCTTGGGATGTTTGGCGTACATGGGGTATAGACTCGCCCAGTCCATGTCTGCGGGGCTCTTGGGGCTGCATAACATTAGATACATTTCTCATCAAAGACCAAATCATCTTACTATGTGAGCGAGTGATCTGAGAAGGGGTTCGCATGGGCGCGCTGCCTGTAGAACCTCTTCTTGGGCATAGCGCCCTGCTGCTCCTCCGTCTGCAGCGACTTCTTGTACTCCTCGCGCTTTGTGCGCTTTGCTGTTTCGCCTGGCATGGTGACTTTGGTATGCGCAATTAACAGATATGCAAGGAAGCAGGGTCAAAGGTAGATGCACAGGTGCTGAGGTAATAGTCGATTAGCTGCGTATCACGAATCAAGCGAGTTTTTCGCTAGCGCCAGGGTCTCTGGTCCACCACATCTGCAGCAACACAGCAAACAGCCGTTCGCGCAGCGATCTACTGCTTGTACGACAAAGCGTAGCGTGACGTAATTCGACCTGCATGTCTCAGAGACGTTACTACAAAAAGCCCGACGACCTTGGCACCCTGCATACGGTCCGTGGGAAGAAAAATCGATACAAGAAGACAATCCCAGGTGTGCGCCCTAATGCTAATCCATATCCAAATGCCCAATCGTTCAGTCGTCAACATTATCGGAATTCAATCGCGCCTTGACACCCAAAATCTTGGATGTGTTTCAAATTGAGCTTCTGGAATCTGGGAGGTGTTAGCATACGACCATATTGGCTGGGGTGTCAAACTTACTTCTCGCTCTTAGCATGGAAGTAGATGCCCTCGATGCCGCCCGAGAGCTGGTTGAAGCAGATGTAGTAGAAGCCTTCAAAACTCGCACCGCTTATGGTCCTCACTCGGTGGTCTGGCACGAGAAAGTACTCCTTCCACCGCATGAAGAGGTGTTCCTTCTGGTTCAGATCCTTCGACACCTGGTCCTGGCGCGCAGAGTACTTAGCAATCGGCTTGTATGCGTCGAACCGCCCCCAGTGTTGCCGGTCGACCTTCTCGTTGGAGCCCCATTCCGGATGCTGTGTAATGAAGGTGTATTTGGTTCCGATTATCTCGCCTTCGAAGTACGTCGTCAGACTTGGATGGTCTTCCGTTAAACCTGTGGACGTGTTAGTCTACAAGCCCTATGCTGGCACTGCGGAGATGTGTGCGCACCTTTGATGCGCAAGTATCCACACATGAAGGACTCGCGCATGTCGACATGTTTTATATCGACTTCGACGTCATACTGCTGGCGGTCGGAGGTTTGGGTGCCCACGAAGCGACTGCCGGGCCGAAGGAGGGACGAGGATGTGTTGGGTAGGAACTGCATCGGCATTAGCAACGTCTACTTTGCGCATTGCTGTGCATGCATGCTGGTCTGACCTACCCTATGCGCAGGGAATGGGGATGACAGATGGCTGGCGAGCAGCGATGTTGGCGCAACGGGAGAAAGCGGCGAGACGTGAGAGGTGCGTTGCTCTTCAGTGCCGTCGTCTGTCGCCGTCATAGGCGTGGGAATGTCTCTGGTGGGCGAGTCTCTGTCGGTGCTGGGCAGCTTGGTCTGGATATCGTCGGGCGCCTGGGTATGCTCGCGCGAGTTTTGTGGAGACGGAGTGGGCTGCTGCATGGGAACATCGGGCACGGCGCTGGCATTGCTGTCGTCGTGGGCGCCCCGTGTGTCATTCAATTCGTGCGTCGCGATAACGCGCGATTCCTCGGGTGGACAAGTCGGGCGGCCAGCGATGCTCTCGTGCTCCACCGGCGAGACCATGGCTTCATCATCCGGCGTCGGCATGGTCCGATAGCAGGTGCGACGAGACTACAGCGAAGGTGCGAGGCGATTATACATGGGACGGCAGGGGATGAATGTGCGATTATACAATAGAGCCTTGCGGGAGCCAGAAGCGTGGCGATGGGGAAGAATGCATGCTGGATGGATGACTTGGACTCGGCGGAGGTGTCTAGGCGGTTCAAAGTTAGTGGGTCACTGAGCTGCACTTACGCGGGGAAGCCGCACTAGGCTGCTCACGTGGGATGACATGGGGCCAAACCTAGACACATTGGAACACTTGATATCTAGGCCGTCGAATGCATCTGTAAATTGTATTATCATCCCTTGCCAAGTGGGCCATGTTGACCTTGCGAGCCGACCCGCGCGATCTAACGAATTCTGGTCGAATCGCCCTTTCCTGGGCATTCGTCTCTCATACACCATCGTCCTAGAAGGGATCACGGAGATCAGGTGACACTAGTCACAAGCAGATGTCGTTCCTCCAGTTGACTCCGTACGCCATCCCTACGTCATTCCACATCGAGCCGCGGTTGTGCCACAACCCCGTGGCTGTGCGCTGTCGGCAAAAGCAACGCTACTGTGCCTCCCTGTGGCGGCGAGAGGCTTAGATAGGCTTGATCTATAACGCTGTGAGTCTTCGTGTTTAACGTGAGCACACTTGATCGCATACCTTGAAGTGCAGAGATATTAAAGAAAAGACCAGAGCCTTGAGGTCTTGCACGAGATAGTAGAAGACGCGGAGGCCTTCTGGGTCTGACGAGTCTTGTACGTCCTGGAGCGAGCCAATTTTCGCAGTCTATTGTCGTCAGTTCCACGAAGGCCATGATAGACAGACCATCCTACCTCAAATGAGATGTGCTCGCTGCCTAACCGAATTTCCAACTCTTGACGGCCGTCCTTGTTCTTCTGGGGCCACTTTGTGTCATCTTCCCTAGGGATGAGTTAGCAGATGATACGTAACTTCCGTTCCTTCACATACTTGAGGATCTCACTGTCCTTGACGATCTTCTTAATCTCAGCTACCAAAGCATCGCTGACGCACACTGAACGGCGCGTTAGCAACACATCACGTCAAAGGCAGGGATTGACATACTCTCTTTCCGGATGAGTGAATCATTGCGGTAGTTTGAGTTGTTGGCATAACGGGCAGATGCGCTGCGGCCGTCTCCGAGCACTCGAAAATCGAATTCTATACCAAAGTCAGATTCATGACTCTCTTTTCGCAACAGCTTTGCGCACCCAAGAACTCGTGTCCAAATCGGCCTTGATGACCAGAGCTGCAAAAATGTTAGTAACTGCACGTGCTTGAGAATCCACAGCCTACATACTAGTAACGCAGGTAGAATGGCTCGTTTGTCGTCATGTTTGCGACTGCCTATATCGAGCTCTAATGATGCGCGTATAGGAATTCGCAGTGCTTGGGGTGCGCGTGTCGTGGTGTTGATGTACCGTCGCGACAGAGGGCTGGAGATCTTGGCGGCCGGACCCCTGCAAGCCTAGCGAGGCGGCCTTCGCTGGAGCGACCATTTCTCGAGCAGACACCTGGAGGTAAACAGAGTCCCGACGAGCACTGCACCCATATCTCCAACAAGCCACCTCTCCGCCCAGGCCACGCCAGTCCTTTCACCCTCCCCGCCAGGCTGCAGCTGCGCCAAACCTCACGACTCCCTCCACCGCCCCCGTCGATCGATACACGTAGCCCATCCCACTTATTCTGGACTCCACGGGACATTGAGGGCTGACGGCCGCACCTGGAGTCACGTTATCGCAGCTGGATACTGTACACCCCGGGCCATTCCATATACCACATAACCCGGCATCATGGCGGCGTTTCTCGAGAACTCGTACAGTCTGGTAGGAACACCTGGCAGGTCGTGGGTATGGGGAAGCTGACGGGCAACACTAGGTGCACCAGGACAATGCCGCCGACGTACCATCACAGAACGAGCTCAAGAATGCTCTGGAGAAGGGCAGCGATGAGCAGAAGATCGAGACTATGGTGCGCTCCCGCAATGGCACTGCCCCGCCTCGCTGAATGCGACCGTCTGACAGCTCTGCAGAAGAAGATTCTCTCGATTATGCTCAATGGCGACCCCCAGGCTGGCCTGCTCATGCACATTATCCGATTTGTCATGCCCAGCAAGTCGAAGCCGCTCAAGAAGCTCATGTACTTCTTCTTCGAGGTCTGCCCCAAGCACGACGCCCAGGGCAAGCTAAGGCAGGAGTGGATTCTCGTCTGGTGAGTTCAAAAGACTATACCACATGAAGCTTGCTAACTGGCATAGTAATGCGATTCGATTCGACTTGCAGGCGCCTAACGAATACGTACGAGGAAACACATTGCGCTTCGTGTAGGATCCTCCACGACACCTTCCCGAGCATTGCTGATAGTCGGAACAGAACCAAGCTACGAGACGCTGAGCTTGTAGAGCCTCTACTACGTAAGAATGTTGCTCTCCATACTTAGCCCAATTGTGCTGACACTCTCAGAACCGGTGCGCCAATGCCTCACACATCGACACGCATACGTCCGGAAGAACGCAACCTTCGCTATCGCATCCATCTTCACACATCTTCCTGAGCTCATGCCAGATGCGCCCGATCTGCTGGTGACATTCCTCGACGACGAGAACGACCCAACATGCAAGCGCAATGCCTTCGCCGCCCTCGTCTCCGTGAGCCACGAGAAGGCTCTCGAATACCTCAGCACCGTTTTCGATGCCATACCCAATCACGAGGAGCTCCTACTTCTCGCCGAGCTAGAGTTCATCCGCAAAGACGCCATCGTGAACCCATCCAACAAGGCCCGCTATCTCCGCTTGATCTTCGACCTCCTCGAATCGCAGGTATCGACCGTCATCTACGAAGCCGCGCACGCCCTTACCACCCTCACAAGCAACCCGGTCGCAGTCAAGGCAGCTGCTGGAAAGTTCGTGGAGCTGGCTATCAAGGAGCCGGATAACAACGTCAAGCTTATCGTCTTGGAGCGGGTTGAGCAGTTGCGACACAAGAATGAGGGCGTCCTTGATGATCTGACTATGGAGGTCCTGCGCGTTCTGTCTAGTACCGACTTGGATGTGCGGAAGAAGTCGCTCAACATTGCCATGGAGATGATCTCAAGCAGAAACGTCGAAGAGGTCGTCCTGCTGCTGAAGAAGGAGCTCATGAAGACGGTGGACGAACAATACGAGAAGAACCCCGAATACAGGTCGCTTCTCATCTCCTCGATACACTCCGCAGCCATCAAGTTCCCCGAAGTCGCCGCCAGCGTCGTTGGATCGCTCATGGACTTCATCTCCGATGTCAGCAGCAACGCATCCGCGGTGGACGTCATTTCCTTCGTCAAGGAAGTCGTTGAGCGCTTCCCAGATCTGAGGGCCTCCATCATCGAGCGACTGGTTTCGACTCTTGGTGAGGTACGTGCTGGCAAGGTCTACCGGGGTGTTCTCTGGATCATCGGAGAGTTCTCGCTGGAGGCGAAGGACATCCAAGATGCATGGAAGGGCATCCGCTCATCGCTCGGCGAAATCCCCATACTTGCTTCCGAGCAAAAACTTTTGGACGATGCTTCGGAGGGCAAGGAGAGCACTGAGCAAGTCAACGGACATGCAAAGGCGGCAGCTCCATCTGGATCAAGGAAGGTCCTCGCTGACGGTACCTACGCGACTGAAAGCGCCCTGACATCCTCCGCTGCCGCCAAAGCGAAACTGGAAGCAGTCAAGAACTCACAAAAGCCCCCACTACGCCAGCTCCTCCTCGATGGCGACTACTACCTTGCCACAGTACTGTCCAGCACTCTCACCAAGCTCGTCATGCGCTATGGAGAGATCTCAAAGAACGAAGCTCGGACGAATGCTCTCCGCGCCGAGGCCATGCTCATCATGATCTCGATCATCCGTGTTGGCCAGTCGCACTTCGTCAAGACCTTCATCGATGAGGACTCCATCGACCGTATCATGTCATGTGTTCGCTCACTGTCCGAGTTCTCGCAAAGAAAGGAGCTCGAGACTGTCTTTTTGGAAGATACTCGCAAGTCTTTCCGAACTATGGTCCAAACAGAAGAAAAGAAGCGCGCCGCCAAGGAGGCTTCGGAACGCGCAAAATCGGCTGTCAATGTTGACGACTCTTTCAACATCCGCCAGCTGAAGAAGAAGGACGCGGATGGCAGCGACGAGATCGAGCAAGATCTTGAAAGGGCGACCGGAGGCGACACTGCGACTGAGGATCTCACATCCAAGCTCAGTCGCGTTGTGCAGCTTACTGGTTTCTCCGACTCGGTATACGCAGAAGCATATGTCAAGGTGCGTCAACACAACCCACTGAAAGTATCCACTAACTCTGCTAGGTCCATCAATTCGATATCGTCCTCGATGTTCTGCTAGTAAACCAAACAACGGAGACGCTGCAAAATCTCACCATCGAATTCGCGACTCTTGGTGACCTCAAGGTCGTCGAGCGTCCTTCAACACAAAATGTTGGTCCTCACGACTTTATCAACATTCAAGCCACAATCAAGGGTAGGCTTTTCCCGTTTGCACTTTTCGGTTCGCATGCTTACTTTTACAGTCTCATCCACCGATACCGGTGTCATCTTCGGTAACATCATCTACGAGGGGTAAGTCCTGCGCATCAACACTCTGCAACCACTGCTAATATCCTACAGTGAAAAGGGTGTTGATTCCAATGTTGTCATTCTCAACGATGTCCACGTCGACATTATGGACTACATCAAGCCCGCACAATGCACGGAGACGCAATTCCGGACAATGTGGACCGAGTTCGAATGGGAGAATAAGGTCAACATTAATTCCAAGGCCAAGACGTTGCGCGATTTCTTGAAGCAACTCATGGCATGCACCAACATGAGCTGCTTAACTCCAGAGGCGTCAATGAAGGGCGACTGCCAATTCTTGTCAGCGAACCTGTACGCCAGGAGTGTATTTGGTAAGTCCTGAAATTCTTTTGTACATCGGCAATACTGACAGAAAGCAGGTGAGGACGCTCTCGCCAACTTGAGTATCGAAAAGGAAGGTGACAATGGCCCTATTACTGGGTTTGTGCGCATAAGAAGTCGCTCCCAAGGCTTGGCGTTGAGCCTGGGGTCGTTGAAGGGTCTGAACAAGGTCGGTGTGGCATGATTTGTCGGCTAATAATTACTGTCACACGTCCGGGGTAGCGGGAGATGGGCGTTCCTACTAAGAAACGGTAGCAAAAGGAAGGTTGGTTGCTTCTTTCGTCTACAGGTCTTCGCGTATGACGCGTTGGGTCGATAGACATGTGGGTGGGATGGATCAATGTTAATGTAGCATTGCCGTATCAAAGACATCAGAGTTCAAATTCACATTCAATATCACAGTCTCTGAGCATCACAGGAAGAGTCGCTTCGTGTCACGTTCTTGGCTGGTTCGTGATTGGGATGCCTCGGTTCGCGAGCGTGCAGGGTCCAACGGGCAACACGGGAATGTTTCCTTTTTGTTTAGCACCAACTATCCGCCAGGATCCGCGCCCTTGCGACAGGGACGGTACCCTTGAGCGTGACATGACCGTCGTCAGCGTGCCTCTTGCGCTGGTCTAGTCTCCAACTGACTCCTGGTCTCGCTCTTGCCCTCTTCACAGCATGCTGCGCGTCGTTCCTGCGACATTTCATTGATCATGGCTTCGCTGGCTGGCTCCGACGATCCCTTCAGAGACCCGCTGCTCACTACCAACGCCGCTCCTTCGCAGCCGTCGCCCGTCTCGGCACCCACCCAGGAGCAGATGAATGTTCCCGACACACTCGCTGTGGGCAGAAACGCCTCCCTGACCCTTGGGACCGACTCCTTGGTCGTACTAGGTGGGGAGATTACTCAAACATCACAGCGGCGCAACACTCACACAGCACAGACGAAGCACTCCTAGATAGCAAAAGCGCCAGCTGCTGCGGTCTGTCTCTTGCTGGCAGTAAGTGCTAATACCGCGTCTAGACACCAACACCCGCTTACGCGACGCAGAGAACAAATCCACTCGTTCCATACCCTTTTACAACATCCTCTGGGCCGAGCACTCAGAGGACGGCCATATCACCGTCCAGTATGCGCAGAACACATCGAAGAAGGCCGTTCGCCCTGCCATCATCAGCTACTCCCTCGACAAACCCGACAGTCGCATAACGGAAGCATGGATAGAGAAGCTGCTCGATCGCGCATACGGAGCGTCGCAACGGCGCAAACGAATCAAGGTGCTCGTCAATCCGTTTGGAGGCCAGGGCGGCGCAGTCAAGACATACCACAAGTTCATTGCGCCCATCCTGGCGGCTGCGCGCTGTGAGCTCGACGTGGAGAAGACACAGCACAACGGCCACGGCGTGGAGATTGCGCAGAACATGGACATTGAGGCATACGACGTAGTCGCCTGCTGCTCAGGAGACGGCATACCACACGAAGTCTGGAACGGGCTGGGCAAGAGGACCGACGCAGCTCGGGCGCTCCAGAAAGTAGCCGTCGCACAGCTCCCCTGCGGCTCCGGCAACGCCATGAGCCTCAACTTCAACGGCACCGACGACCCCAGTCTCGCCGCCCTCGCCGTCGTCAAGGGCCTGCGCACCCCGCTCGATCTCTCCTCGATAACCCAAGGCGACCGCCGCACCCTCTCCTTCCTCTCCCAGTCCGTCGGCATAGTAGCCGAAACAGACCTCGCGACAGAACACCTGCGCTGGATGGGCAGCGCACGCTTCACCTGGGGCTTCCTCGTCCGCCTCTTCAAAAAGACATGCTACCCCGCCGACATCGCGATAAAAGTCGAATACGACAACAAGACCGCCGTCCGCGAAGCCTACCGCACCGAATGCGCAAAACCACCTCGCAGCACCGACGACCGCGTCCTACCCGCCCCCGAAACAGGTCTTCCAGAGCTGAAATACGGCACAGCGACCGACCCTCTCCCTGCAGGCTGGCAACTAATCCCCCACAACCACCTCGGCAACTTCTACGCCGGAAACATCGCCTACATGTCACCCGACGCAAATTTCTTCCCCGCATCCCTTCCCTCCGACGGGTGTCTCGACCTCGTCCGTATCCGCGGCGATATCGCGCGGCATACGGCTGTGAAGACGCTGCTGGCCGTGGAGAACCACTCTTTCTTTGATATGGACCATGTGGATTACCAGAAGGTTAGTGCGTATAGGATTATTCCGAAAGGGCAGAGGGATGGGTATATTAGTATTGATGGGGAGAGGGTTCCTTTTGAGGGGTTTCAGGTTGAGGTGCATAGGGGGTTGGGGACTGTGCTGAGTAAGAGTGGGCATTTGTGTGAGGCGAGGGGGGTTTGAGGTGTGTGAGCTGGGGTTGGTGGGTGATTGTTGTGCGGTATAGATATCGGGCGTTTGCGTTAGGATACCAAGGTTGTTTATAGCTGGAGTAATGAAGTTTGGCCTGTTGGTCTTGGGAGATTGGCTTCTTGTTCAACTTCCCTTCAAGATTGATGTTCCAACCAAACCACGCCTATCAAATTTTCCACATCGCCCCCCTTACCAACCCACTCAGCCCAATTAGCCTATCCTTTGTGCCCCCACATTCATTATTCTCACCTCCAGGTTACACATCCACCTTTTCCATCCAATTTTATTCGTCGTCATTAGTTTTGTGACTCTAAATTTCCCCATCAATCAACAACCACAAAAGCTGCTTGGCGCAGCGGAAGCGCGCCGGGCTCATAACCCGGAGGACCTCGGATCGAAACCGAGAGCAGCTAGATGTTGTAAATCTTCTTTTTGGCTGTTTTTTTTTTTTGCACAGGGGGAAGAGTGAATGGGTGAGGGAGGTAGTGGGTGCAGCGGCGTGGAAGGTAAGTGGTTAGTATAATTTGGTGATTGCTGTTGTATAGAAAGTTGCGAGTGGCACGGGGTTCTTTTTTGGACTTCACGACATCTTTGGGGTAGGTTCACGTTGTAGAGAGATATGTTTAACATGAAAGTTTAGTGTATATGTAGAACAATAGCAGGCATTTGTTCTTACACAAAGTACCACTCAAAGTCGTTGCAATTACGTATATTCCAGCTTGTGCTAACCTTAATATCTGGGGACGTAGGCTACCCTGTCTCCAAGAAGCAAGACAATCGTACGCCAGAACGCCGGTGCGCGGAGGCTGCACCATCGAGAGGTCGGGCATCTCGAGCATGCGCAAAAGCTCATGACAACCACCGTTATTGACTGACCAATCCACCAACGTATATGCCTAAGTCCCTCGCGAAAAGGCTTCAAGTTCGAGCGGATCCCAGAAGAAAGGTTCATTACCGTGCCACTGCTCTCGGTAAAACTTCGGCAAGACCAGAATCAGCAATGCCCCGCTACCGGTGTCGCGTCGCACACCCTCCATGAACTCGGCACGCTTCCACACAGCACCCAGACTGCTCTTTTCTTGTGTAATCTCAACGCCTCAAGATGTCTACAGACCCGATGGACATCTCGGGACAGCCACCCACATATCCACCCAATCTATTGGGTATTCCGACAGAGCTTCAACTAAGGATTGTTGATCACGTACGCTACTGTAGTGCGCATGCTGGCTTCAAAACACGTACTGATTGGGTCAGATAACTCTGAAGAGCGATCTTGCATCACTGTGTAGGACATGCTCAGCTCTGCGTGTTCTCGCGAATCCGCTTCTATATAGGCGCATCGTTCTGCGCCTATGGAGTCAGCGTGCGGTCGATCGTCTCAACAAGTCCAATTTCGCAGGTGCTGGCTTACACTACCAGCACACGAAGGAGGTTATCATCGAAGACGAAGCGATTGGCGAAGAACTCTACACGATACATACCGGACGGATCTGTCCACCTATTCTGGATCGTCGGAGTAATGCTACTTACCTAACTGAGTCTGAGAAAGACAACGCCGCCTACGCGTTTCTGCAAACCATGCATCACAACCAATTAGAACGCTTATGGTAAGTTAATAAGTGAATGCGCTAGCATTCGATGTGGATGCTGATGAGATCAGGTACCATTCGCGGCGGCCTCTCTCGGCAGTGGTCAGAAATCATCTGCGCCACTACCAGACGAAAATACAAGACCTACGAATAGGCTTATACACCGATCCCGGATCGCCCGACGTACTACCCCAGATACTCTGTGGTCTGCAACGCCTCGATCTTTATGTCGATAATTCAACAAGCCTCATTCTGTTGTACATGAACATCGAAGCCGTGGGCGCCAACTTGAAATCGTTGTCGCTGACAGCAGCCAATTCCATGGATATCAGTACGGAACTGGATGCCTGGGCAATGGGCGAGGAGAACGAATACACCCAATGCACACCCAAGCTCGAAGAGTTCACGCTGTCCAATTTTATCTATGACAACGCTTACGAACAGTTCTCTATAATTGTCAACTATCATCAGCTTGTGCGATTAGGGCTTTTCGGGAACTCCGGCGGAACCCATTACTTTCTCCAGGAGCTTGCCGAAAGTAGCGAGGAGAACAAGCTTCGCTTGAAGCATATTGCTGTGGAGATTGCGGGTGACATCGCGGAAGACACTGAGCTCGTTCCTCTGAAATTATCCTTGTATCAGATATACAAGGCCTGCGAACCCCTTGAGAGCTTCCATATACACTACCCGCACGGCGACCACGCATCCGACTTTGATATGTACAACTTCCTAAAGCCGTTCACTGATCGCGGGCACAATTTACAAAGTCTGAGCTACCACGTCGAACAGTGGAACTGGGGCCGATTGAACCACGACGCTATAGATGTGCTGTACCGGGTAAGCCAGGAATCCTTTCGACAAGTGAAACAGCTTGCGGTGTACTTCGAGGAACCATTGATGCTTGACGGCCTATGGAACGAAGAGGCCAGATTTATGATCCTTATGGTAAGTGGAAGCTATCGCATTCAGAGCGGCACCTCGTTCAAGGAGACCACAAAACACGCTGGAGTCTGCGTAGACCCTAGGTCGCTTAGTTCGCACGTTTGCGTCGTGCTTCAGGCTGCAGACCCATTAAGTTCTTCCTTGCATGAGGTGATGGCGGATCTTGAGCATAATATCTAACATCTATCAGACGTGGATTGGGGATTTCCGAGAATTACGCTTGCTCCACCTTCGCCTGCCACACTGCGAGCGCATAGGACGGAGTGAACACGGATGGGACCCCGCACTAGTAGTCCTACAGCTGCAAACCTTCGCAAACCGAGTCTTTGAGTTTCTAGGTCCAGAATCGAAGTTGGATGCTCTGGTGATCGGTCATGTGGCGACTTTGAGGAACCCAGAAGACGTACAGCGCGTGCGTCCACTTCCGCAGCAGTGCTTTCTTCGAGGCGAGCAAAGAGATATCCTAGGTCGTACCGTCCCCGTTGCGGTTCCTGTTACGAGGATGATGTTGCGTGAAACGCAACCGTACACAGATATTCTGGAAGTCGACTACCGTACTGCCGCCGATGAATGGGAGGCGTGGGCAACTCGAACGATGTGAGGATTTGGGTCGAGGAAGAACGTCATCAAAAAGATCTTTTAGCCCGAAGCATACAGCGTCTTAGGTGCTGTCTGTGTATAAACATTTGATGGAATATATGTAGCGAATACAAAGCGCATTCTAGCCATCCCTAGTGCAGCGAAGGCATTGTATCTGCGATCATGTTATGCAGTTCCCATCAGATGTCCATCGTTCGGTTGGCTCGATTTGTTCGGTTCTGGTACAATAAATTCGAGTCCAATATGCAGTTCCCAGAGCATTTCGCGTGAAATGTTGCGAAGCAGGCTTAACCTAAATAAGTCACAAGGAACTTCCTCATTGGGGCAAGAACCAAACGCTGACCTTGATCGGCTACTGAAGCCGATGCGACTCGTCGTTCCTTCACGGTAGCTTCCCACATGCCGCAACGACGCGCATTGCCGGAGGATGCATACATAGCGCTAATGTGTGTTCTCTATTCGAGAGTCAATCGAGCGCTGACACGATAGCATTGGCTGCAGGTCTAGCAAGGGTGGATGCAATCCTTTTGGCTCCGCGGCGTCTAGATGCATACTGCAAGGGTCATGGCGACAACCCCTCTTGTGCACCAAGTGTATTGAAAGAGGCCACCAACCAGTTTGTCTTTGGTTCTCGCTATCGCGATTCTTTGAACTGCAACCGCCATGTTGCAACTCAACACCGACTGCCAGAGACGAGTGCTCAACTTCGTATGCTACCAGCCTTGCCCCCAGCAATGAGGTACTGACGAAACCAGATAAATACCCGAAGTGATCTGAAATCACTATGTTTGGTGTCAAAAGAGCTCAACCAAATCGCCCTCGAAAAGCTTCACGAGCGCATCGACATCCGCCTCTTCAGCGAAAGTAACACTAATTACATTCTTGAACAACTAAAGGACGTAAAAGAGAACCTTCAGTACACCAGAGAACTTGTCGTGGAAGATGAGTGCATCGCCGAGGAAACTACATCTGTACAGTACGGCAGTGTTGGACTACCTGACCTTAAATGTTGGACCGGTACTGGCGCCACGAGTGCAGATCCTGAAGTACGCGACAGTCGACTTGAGCAGGTCTTGGATCTCATCCCGGCAAATGCTCTGCGCACATTCCGGTAGGACTGAAGCTACGCATTTCGTCTTGTGCTTCATACTAACATCTACAGTTTCCTCGCTCGACGATCACTACCGTGGTGGCTGCACAAGAAGCTCGCATCGAACCAGAGAAACATCACAGACCTCCAAGTCAGTCTTAGTATGTATCTCTTCGACAACTCTATAAACATACTGCCAGAATTGTGTCAACGCGAAACGGATTTGAAACGACTGGACATGTACATCGTCAATGGGTCGCCACTCAACGGCCAATTACTCGACTATGTTGAAGCCGTCGGAAGCAACCTGCAATCCCTGTCTTTGAGCGCCAACATTGACACTGATGTTTCCAAGCTGCTCCGGAACCACGACTGGTCACCATATCAGCCCAAACTCCCACTGAAAGAACTCAGGTTGACTGGCTTGACATTGATGCACATGTACAACTCCCTATCGACAATCATCGATTTCAGCAAGCTGCAAAAGCTCGACCTAGTAGAATGCGCCGGAGCCTTCGGATTACTGGCGGACATTGCAAATGCAATGCCAAACCAGCAGTTCGATCTTACGCACGTTGCCTTGAACGAATTTGTTCCTCGAATTAGCATCATCAATACTGATGACGAGCGCAACATAAGTTTGGTCAACTTCTTCAAATCTTGTCCAAACCTGCGCAGTCTGCACTTTGGTCATTACGATCTCGAAGCTCTACCACCAGGGTTGAGACAGTACCTACAAAGTAGAGGCAAGGAGCTCACAAGCCTGAGTC